TTAGCACTTGGGAAGGAAGAGTAGATTTCACCGCAATACCCATGGATGACTTCCAAGCCATCCTTGGGTTGGATTTCTTGAGAAGTACAAAGACGGTAGTCATGCCTTATTCTAATAGTATGTGTGTCATGGGGGATAAGCCATATCTTATTCTTGCTATGGCCACCAACAATAGTGACTGGTTTGTCTCAACTACGCAACTCAAGAGGGGTGTTAGACATGGTGAGCAAACTTAGGTTGCCGCGTTGAAGTTGAATAAAGCTCTTGAATCTACTCTCGTCCCAGCCATAATTAAGAAGGTCTTAAGGCACTTTGCAGATGTTATGCCTGAACAGTTGCCTAAAGAGTTGCCTCCACGCCGAGGTGTGGATCATGCTATTGAGTTGGTGCCAGGGACAAAGCCACCAGCTTGTGCACTGTATAGAATGGCTATTCCTGAGTTGAATGAGTTAAGGAAGCAGCTTACAGAGTTATTGGAAGGCTATCTAAGGCCCCATTCGGTGCACCTGTCTTATTCCAAAAGAAGCATGATGGTAGTCTTTGCTTATGTGTGGATTATCGGGCTCTCAACAAGCTGACCATCAAGAACAAGTATCCCCTTCCTCTCATTGCAGATTCATTTGATCAATTGAGCAAAGCGAGGTATTTCACAAAGCTAGATCTTCGATCGGGGTACTATCAAGTAAGAATTGCCGAGGGAGACGAGCCTAAAACTACTTGTGTTACTCGTTATGGCTCTTATGAGTTTCTTGTTATGCCATTCGGCTTGACCAATGCCCCAGCAACATTCTGCACCATGATGAACAAAGTTTTTCAAGAGTATTTGGATCAATTCATGGTAGTATATTTGGATGACATTGTAATTTATAGCTCCCCTTTAGAAGAGCACGTGGAGCATCTTCAGAAGGCTCTTACCAAGTTGAGAGAGCACAAGCTTTATGTCAAGCTAGAGAAGTGTTCTTTTGCCCAAGAGAGGATTAAGTTCTTAGGACACATTGTTGAGCATGGATGCATCAAAATGGACCAAGAGAAGGTCAAGGCTATTCAAGAGTGGCATCCACCTACCAATGTCTCAGAGTTGCGGTTATTCCTTGGATTAGCTAATTATTATCGCAAGTTTGTTGAAGGTTACTCAAGACTAGCTTCCCCACTAACAGAGTTGCTAAAAAAGGGCAAGCCATATGTTTGGGCAGAGGAGTGTCAACAAGCCTTTCAAGCCTTGAAAGAAGCTATGTCAAAGGACCCTGTTCTTGCTCTACCTGACTTAGGTAAAGCTTTTGAGATACAAACTGATGCATCTAATTTTCCTTTGGGTGGTGTTCTTTTACAGGATAGTCACCCAATTGCCTATGAGAGTAAGAAGCTCAATGATGTCGAGCGGAGATATCCAGCTCATGAGAAAGAGTTGCTTGCAGTAGTGCATTGTCTAAGGACTTGGAGGCACTACATCTTGGGCTCACGGTTTGTTGTAAAGATTGACAACACGGCAGTTAGCCATTTCTTAACACAGTCTAAGCTATGCGCATGACAAGCACGATGGCAAGAGAAGTTGGCAAAGTTTGATTTTACCTTAGAATACAAGGCCGGTGCCACCAATCATGTTGCTGATGCACCAAGTAGGAAGGCAGAGCTTGCTATGTGCCATCATGTATGTTTACTTACTTCCATTTCAACCAGCATCAAGAAGAAAGTCAAGGCTCATCTAGACAAGGATGCTATGGCAGAGAATCTTATGAACCTTGTCAAAATGGGCAAGACTCGCCAATTTTTGGTGCAAGATGGACTTCTAATGACAACAGGCAACCGCATATTTGTACCCAGGGCTGGTGATTTGAGGAAGACACTTCTTAGGGAGTGCCATGATACACTTTGGGCTGGACATCCGGGTTGGGAGTGAACATTGGCCTTGGTGAAACAAGGATATTATTGGCCCCAAATGTGTGATGATGTGGAAGAATATGTCCGCACTTGTCTCACTTGCCAGCAAGACAAGGTTGAGCATAAGAAGAAAGCAGGCTTGTTTGAACCTTTACCTATGCCTAAACGTCCGTGGGAAAGTGTATCACTTGACTTCATCACTGGATTGCCTAAAGTGAGAGATATCGGGACAATCTTGACTATTGTGGACTGGTTCTCCAAATATGCCACCTTTGTTGTTGCCCCAAAGTATGTTTCAGCGGAGGAGACTGCCCAACTCTTCTTCAAGCACATTGTTAAGTATTGGGGTGTGCCTAAAAGTATTGTTAGTGACTGAGATACACACTTTGTTGGCAACTTCTCAACGGAGTTATTCAAGCTTCTTGGGTCACAACTTAATACTTCATCAAGCTACCATCCGGAGACAGATGGGCAAACTAAATGCTTCAACTGTATGCTCGAGGAGTATTTGCGCCACTTTGTCAATTCTAATCAACGAAATTGGGTGCAATTTCTTGATGTAGCACAGTTGTGCTTCAACTCTTAAAAGAGTAGCTCTACGGGCAAGAGTGCTTTTGAGATAGTGAATGAACAAAAGCCACTATTGCCCCACACAGTGGATGGACCTTATGAAGGAAAGTCTCTTAGGGCTTACCAGTTTGCTAAGGAATGGAAGAGAAACCATGACATTACTCGTGCCTATCTTGAAAAAGCAGCAAGTAAAATGAAGAAATAGGCTGATGAAAAGAGGAGGCCACTTGAGTTTAGACCTGGGGATCAAGTTCTTGTCAAACTCAACCCCGAGCAACGCAAGTTCATGAGGGGAAGAGATAGAAGGCTAGTGCGAAAGTATGAGGGACCGGTAACCATTCTGAAGAGAATTGGAAAATGTGCTTACAAGATAGATGCTCCATCTTGGCTGAAAGTGCACTTGGTTTTCCATGTGAGTTATTTGAAGCCTTACTATCTAGACAAGGAAGATCCAACCCGAAATGAGTTGAAACGCCAAACCATCACAGCCAAAGCAGGAAAAAGGTCTATTGAATCTATCTTGGCCGATCGGGTGAAAATGGTTTCCAAGAAGAAACAAAGGCAATACTTGGTGAAATGGAAAGGCCTTGGAGATGAAGAAATCAGCTGGGACCGGGAGGCAAACTTGTCGGCTTTTCAAGACGCGATTGATGCTTATTGGGCCAAGTCGTCGAGGGCATCGATCGTTCAAATGGGGAGACTGTCAAGGTGCGCCCATCCAAGGGTCAACACCTTGATGCAACACACATTTGTGCCCTTTGGAGAGCCAAAGACATGCCTAAGAAGTTGTTAGTGCAAGTGCAAGCAAAGGCCCAAGGCATAATGCAAGATAGTCCAAGACATGCCATGAAGCAACCTAGCCACCAAGTAGCAACTTTAGGCCAACTTTTAGAGGGTCAAATGTAATCTTTTTGCCTTGTAAATTTTTATGTAAATACCTTAGTATTAAAGGTGTTTTGGGACCAAGGGTTGTAATTTTTCTCTTTTTGTAGAATTTTTAAAAATCCATTATGACTCTTCAAACATAATGGATGTTTCCTCCTGCTAACTAGGAAAATGCTTAACAAGCTATATTAAGGAGGGGGTACCCAAGTGTTGAACCAGACCACTTGTGCCTTTAATGTACTCCAACCTAGCTTATGGTGAGACAACTTTTGTAGCACTTTTGGTGCATTGTTCAACTATTGTAATGCCTTCTTTTGATCAATGAAAAGTTTATTTCGCCTTTAAATTGTGCAAAGCCTTTCAGTTGTTGCTTACTTTAATTTTAGTTTGTTGATTGCTATTTTGTGCCTTGTCTTCAATCTTGTGGCTCATCAACTTAACTAATATTGTGTTTGCTTGTCTTTGCAAACCTTTTGAGCTTTATTGGCAGGCTAGTGAATATAGTTAACTAGCGTCACACACACTTGCATATCTTTGCCAAGGATTCCGCATTGCCGGTGTGTGACACTGTGGCTGTGGCTGTGGTTGTGGCCTTGGCTGTTGCTGCAGCTGCAGCTGATGTGACCTTGGCTGTTGCTGTGGCTGCTGTGGCCTTGGCTATTGCTGCAGCTCTGGTCTGAGCTGTGGCCTTGGCTGTAGCTGAGCTGGCTTATCAGATTATTGGCAAGTTGTAATACTAACAGTAGCTTTGAAATTAATCTTTCTGAAGAATGATAAGAAGTGGCAATTTAAAGGGTATTTTGTATTTATTTCGCAAATCAAATGACAAGCATAAGTTGCCCAAGACTATTTGTGTGGCAAGTGATGTTGCATGTTTGTAAAAGCAAGGCTTGTGATCGTTCCTTATCGGATTTACTTAATTCTATGAGATTGGATTAATAATAGCATGTACTATTTTTGAATTCGCCCATTTCGAAAGATTTATGGTTCCATATATGTGCGATTGTTTATCTGGTGCTACTTTTTGGGAAAAGTAATATATAAAAAAAAAATGGATAACATTTTGGAGCTTTTTGTATATATCTATGTGAATCACCAATACATATATCATCAAACCCTTCCATCATTTCAATCAACAATGTTCAATATTATGGACAGTGGTTTATCATTATCATCATCATTATCAACAACAAACCATTAAGAAGAGGCAATGACAAAACATATTAAGTAGGATTAGTGAGACACATGTGGGGTGGTCCATCATTAGCTTGGGCAGCCATGGCAAGCTCAAACTGCCTCATAGAAATTGAAGGAAAAGATAGTATTTCAGGAGCTGTGAGGTTTTCTTAACTGTCTTTCATAGGATTGTTGGTGGTGTTTGTAGTTGTAGTAGTTCCATCCCATCCTATGTGTGTAATCTCCATGTCCATTTCCATCTCTTCCTTGCAAACTTGATCTAAAAATTCTTCATTTGTGTACCCAGTTCAAAGTTTGGGGTTCACTCAAGTGAGACATGTTTTGTGAGACATGTCTTGTTTATTAGAAAATGGGTTTTGTATATCATTTTCAATGTTGATAATGGGTTTTATTTTCTATTGTTTTTGTTTCTAGACTTTGAATAGGTTTTGATTCGTAATATTAGAAGAATTAGCAGTAGAGCACCTGGTGTTTGGATACTCTGAAGGACTTTATTATGATGTGGAAAAGGTAAGCACATGTTTTTTTTAAAATATTCACTTTCCCTTAATTGAATAGGATTACTAATTGGCAATTTATCAATTATGAAACAGTTGAATAGAGTGCTTAAATGGTTGGGTTTCACAAAGAGTGAAGCTGATTCTCAAGTAAAATGGGCTGCTGTAAATACTCTCTTAATATTAGTTCGTCATCAAGAAGCTCGATCCAGAGTAGCAGAAGCCATGGCTTTGGGAAAGTCCGTTGGCTCTTGCATTGATATAATAGAGAACACATTAATTGGCAAAGAAATATAGATATATTATTACCTTTTGTTTCTGCCAAAACTATCTTCAACGCTTTGTCTAGAATCTTGTAGTTAGACAGATCAAAAAAAAATCTTTCAAAGCTTTCTAGTCAGAGTTGAAAACTTGCTCCAAATTGTGCAAATTTTATGAGAAGTCAATAAGCCTAACAGATTATTAATTTGAACTCCAAACCTGTTATTAATTTGAACTCCAAGCCAAATTATAAATTTTATGAGAAGTTAATAAGCTTAACAGGTTTGGAGCAAATTTTAAGTCTTCGAATTAATTACATACATTCATTTATGTATTTACTCTCTTTGGTATTGTTTAGTATTGTCGAAAATATTTACTCATCTATTTCTTGGTGAGTTTTTCAAATTCAGATGGAGCTCAAATCTAATTTTAATTCAAGATATTATTGGTAGCTTAATAACACTATTGTATATTCATCTATAGTTTTAGACTCTTCTCAAATTGTTTTGATGCATAAGTGCTATTAAGGCCTCGTTTGGGAACATGCTAATTTAGTAACTTTTTGACTATTTGACTAAAAAAGTAAATAAAAAAAACTTGTATGTTTGGGATGACTTTTTGACTAATTACGAAAAGATATGCAAAAAGTAGAGAGAAAAAAGAATCTTTGACTTTTTGGTATAAGTTGTTGACTTTTTAACTAATTTAGTAACTTTTTAACTAATTGACTAAAATAACCTCTTGTCAAACGAGGCCTAAGATGATTAACAAATATCATAATATTTACTTTAGTCCTCTTAAAAGATAATTTATTTTTTTTAATTCTAAAATTAAAAAAGTTAAAGTAAACTCTAAACGGTCCACTATTTTTTTCCTCTAATAAGATACTTTAACAATCTTTAAATATTTTGTTTTAAAAAAAAAATATTTTTTCAACTTGTCTTCTCGTCCAGAAACTTGGGCACTCTTATATTTTGGTCTTAAACATTTTCCATGCAGAAGTTAACTAGTGATCCAAATTTCACATTCGAACTTGAGGATCTATACCCAATTTGCATGTTTGTTTACAGTATCTAAACAAACTTGATTTCCAAGCATTGTTGATCCAAAGATTTGGTACATATTGAATAAATTAATCAATTGACATTAAGCCATCAACCACAAAATTCCCCAGAAGAAAAAAAAAATCACAATTGACATCAAACTTCAACCATCAAAACTGTAGAACTTTGATTCATATGCCCCAAGAGGAGCTATACCCCTAAAATCATAATACATTGTTAAAAAGAAAACCCAAAAAGAAAAAACCATTGTACATCACATAAGGCTGGGTGGCTTCTAAAACTCCTGAGAAGCAGAACCAATATCCCCTTTCCCTTTACCCACCTTCTTAGGCAACAAAGTCTGGTGAATGTTTGGCAAAACCCCTCCATTGGCAATGGTCACTGACCCCAACAACTTGCTCAGCTCCTCATCATTCCTCACTGCTAACTGTATGTGCCTTGGCACTATCCTGTTCTTCTTGTTATCTCTCGCCGCATTCCCAGCTAGCTCCAACACCTACAAACAAAAATAATCAAATTCATCAAACACCAACCAATTCCAATAATCAAACATAATTCCCAAATCAAACATAATTCCCAAATCAAACATAATTCCCAAATCAAACATAATTCCCAAATCAAACATAATTCCCAAATCAAACATAATTCCCAAATCAAACATAATTCCCAAATCAAACATAATTCCCAAATCAAACATAATTCCCAAATCAAACATAATTCCCAAATCAAACATAATTCCCAAATCAAACATAATTCCCAAATCAAACATAATTCCCAAATCAAACATAATTCCCAAATCAAACATAATTCCCAAATCAAACATAATTCCCAAATCAAACATAATTCCCAAATCAAACATAATTCCCAAATCAAACATAATTCCCAAATCAAACATAATTCCCAAATCAAACATAATTCCCAAATCAAACATAATTCCCAAATCAAACATAATTCCCAAATCAAACATAATTCCCAAATCAAACATAATTCCCAAATCAAACATAATTCCCAAATCAAACATAATTCCCAAATCAAACATAATTCCCAAATCAAACATAATTCCCAAATCAAACATAATTCCCAAATCAAACATAATTCCCAAATCAAACATAATTCCCAAATCAAACATAATTCCCAAATCAAACATAATTCCCAAATCAAACATAATTCCCAAATCAAACATAATTCCCAAATCAAACATAATTCCCAAATCAAACATAATTCCCAAATCAAACATAATTCCCAAATCAAACATAATTCCCAAATCAAACATAATTCCCAAATCAAACATAATTCCCAAATCAAACATAATTCCCAAATCAAACATAATTCCCAAATCAAACATAATTCCCAAATCAAACATAATTCCCAAATCAAACATAATTCCCAAATCAAACATAATTCCCAAATCAAACATAATTCCCAAATCAAAATCTATTGAAATTGAGGACAAAATGTTTGTTCTTTTGATGAAACAATCGGACAATGATGAGGAAGAAAATATACCTCGGCAGCGAGGTACTCGAGGACAGCAGAGAGGTAGACCGGAGCTCCGGCGCCCACTCGCTCGGCATACTTTCCGGCCTTTAGAAATCGAGCGATTCTACCGACGGGGAACTGAAGACCCGCCTTCTGAGACCGAGACACAGACTTCGATGCCTTGGGCTTTCCTCGCCCACCCTTCGTTGATCCCCCACCTGAACTCATCTTCTTCTTTTTCTTCTTTCTTCACAAACCCTAACCCTAGCTTTCGCTTTCCACCGCTTTGGGTTCTTTGGAAGACACAGACGCTGATTGGAATGGCGGAGAACAGGGCGTGGAGCGGGAATTTATATAGGAATTAAAACTATGTGCTGATTGGTTGAGACACCTCCACTCAGATTGCCAACGTGGCAACCCAATTAAGTCCAAATTAATAGTAATTAAGCCTTCGTTGGACTACCTTAAGGTCAAGTTTTGCAATTTTAAAATAATTCATCTTTTTATCTTTTTTCTAT